GAGCTTGTAACACTCCAAAGAGAAAGGAAAAATTTAAATCGCATCATATGACCCCTTTAACATTGTTGATCCATATTGGTGGAAGTGAGAGACTGTAAGTTTTGAATGCTTATTTCTTGTAAATGTGAATTTTGTCTTTGTTTTGGAACACACTAGCTTATAGATAATGTTAAGGCTAACATATTCATACTAAAATCCAAAAAACTTTAAGATGATGATCACAAAGACCAAGTACAAACTGTTGCTAAATTCAGTTCAGAATGCAGTTGTCAGTTTTGTAAATAACCAAACTTTGTGTGTAAAACAGAGTTCAGCACTTAATTAGTTTGATAGAAGCACAGTATAGTGATGGCAGTGTACACTGTTTAAAAGCTTCATCTCAACAATGAATGTCACTCTGATGATGGCACTTATTTTGTCCTATCTGTGCCTGAAAAATGTAACTTCTTAAGGTTAAGGTAATAATTAGAGTAAGTTTGCCCCCAAAAAATGAAACATGTCATCATATACTCAAACTTATATTTTTACGAACCTGCATGACTTTATTCCCTGGAACCTAAATGGCATTATTTATAACTGAATGTCCTGGGTGCTCTTTTCAATATAATGACAGTGAATGAGGACCAGCGGCTCTTAAAAATTACAAAAATCACCAGTAAATTATTAATATGGCTGTTAGACCAAAAGTATTAGTTGAACACATTTATTTCTTCATATAACAGCATGAATAGGCATTTTTTTCTGAGAAAACATAACAGTTACTGTATTCATTTAACTGAATCTACAAGCTCCTACAGAAAGTAATTTAGGGCTGCCCCCTAATAGTTGACTAATTGTTAGTTGACCAGAAGAGGCTTGGTCGACCAAAATTTTATTAGTCGCTTAGTCGCAGAAAAAAAAAAAAAAAAACATTGGCGAAGTCACGCAGATTGTTAATGGCTAGTCTTTGCGGTAATACATTGGGCAGGACATCCAAACACTCGCCTATCATTCATCAACCTAAAATATGACTTATCATCTGAAATATGTAATTATTAGCAACTTTACATGGCCGCTCAATCTAATGTTAACCGAGAGAAATGTGCGCTATTCGAGTGTCTGTGTGAAGTATGAAGAGTAGTGCGCTTACTGCAGGACAGATGGAGGCGCTGGTGCGCTCACTTGCTCAAAATACTCCCTCATTTTTGCTCATAAAGATAAATTGTGCTTTTGTAAAATAATGAAAGCAATCAGGATGCGCTTTCTGCCGTCTCAGTTTCTGTGAACTTGAGCATGAAACTCCATGTATATCTTTGCCTTACAGACATTAAAACTATATATATAGAGAGTGAAATGTCTACTTTCAAATAAACCAATTCAAATAGAAGACTAATATACTCAGATTATGTAATCTGTATGAAACATGCATACAGGCAAATATATTGCGGAGATGACAAGACAGTGTCGCCGACTTAATCTCTTAAACCGAAAACAAAAGCACCAGTTTATCAGTGAATTATTAAAATGTTAATGCAGTCTCCGTAATTTTTTCCCTGATACATTCATAATCATTACTTCTGTGGTGCGCTGTGGCAAGCTTTATGCGTGTGCTTGAGCACTTATTAGGCTATATAGGCAATTAAAGGCTCATTATAATGATTTAAATGGCTTATTATTAAAAGTGTGATTAGTCGACTAATGCTTAAAACAACTACTAGTCGAAAAATCCTTAGTCGAGGGCAGCCCTAATGTAAAGTTTAAGATTTTACATGTAAAGATTAAAATAACACTTCATTGTATTCATAGTTCATATCTGGTATTTGTCTGTTTTTTATTTTACAGATTTACCCAGATCTACACTGACTGTGACACCAAAGAATGTATTCACAGGACAGACAGTCAATCTGACCTGTGTGATTGAGACTTACAGTAGCTGGAGATATGAGTGGTATAAAGGCACAGACAAAAGTGTAATGTTACAGACGTCTGATCGTTACACTGTAAACAGAGACACTCTCACTATCAGAGGAGCGAATGAGTCTGATCAGGGTCAGTACTGGTGTAGAGGACAGAGAGATGGAAGACCAAAATCATCACAAGAGAGTAACCGGATACATCTGTCTGTTAATGGTTAGTTAATATTTTGAGAAATACTTGTCTGTTGTTTAAAATGACAATATACTCATAAAACTTGGGGTTCCCCGATAAACTATTTGAAAGCCTTCAGGAGATCTGCAGTGCTGCTCAATAAGTGCTTGTTTCTCTGTTTTTTTTTTTTTTGTGTGTCACATTCAGGTCAGATTTCTGTCTTCAGCATCCTCAGTTTTCTTCTGGCAGCTTGTCCGTATCTGCTGTCGACAGTCGTGCTGCTGTCCAAATGCTACAGAGCGAGAGGTAAAACTTCTGTCTGATCCGTCTCTCTCCAATGATTTACATTCCCTCTTTGACAGGCATACCGTATTTTCAACATATGATCTGATCATTAATTGAAACAATAACTGCAGTGGAAACAGACAGTGTCCAATTAAATTTTGGAAATAAACGTTTTGTGTGTGTATTTCACAGTTACATCGACTGAAGATTTCATTCAAACTCAAACAACAGGTATTTTGCATACACAGTAATCGTAATTAACTAAAAAGAAAAGTTATAAAGCCACGATTAAGATATCATGGTTTCAATAACACCTAACACATATTTAAGACATAAAACATTATTTGTGAATATAGTTGCCCCGATACTTTCAATGATTTTCCCTGATTGTCTTATGAATTGTCTGTGACTCAAGAAACGTAAGGGTTTCAGAAAGGGCAGGAAGCAGGTGGTCAAACGTCATGTGCTAGTCAGGCAGCGGTCCCGTGCTCGCAGGCCTGAGGGCATCAGTTAATTACTGTCCTTTTCCTGTTTGGACATAATAGTTCCATCCATTGGTGGTCACAAGACATCGTGGTTTCTATATGTCGTGAACTGGCTTTTCAGTCCTGATACAAAGAAAGCTTTGTTGACTCCTGATTGAATTAATTCGAAGCCTCATGATGGTGATTCAGTGGCATATCCATGTCCTGTTCATGAAATCCCTACAATTCACATTCACTGACAGACAGGCCTTTACTCTTTCTCTTTTTATATGTTATAAATCAATATTTACAACAGATGGTGGTCATTCATAAGCAGTAGCTGCAGTGGAAGCAAAACAGAAAGTGTCAAACTGAATTGTGAAAGTGAATGGTGTGTGTGTGTGTGTGTGTGTGTGTGTGTCACAGTTGCATCTACTGAAGACCAAAGCCAGTATGCCGTAACAGAGGATCAAACTTCAACCTGATTTCATCCATTCTTCAAACCGCATGTATAGAGTCACAGGATGCTGGAGCCTCAGGCTGAAGGCTGGGAAACTCGCAAGACTAACAGACACACATTCACACTCTCACACATATGGACAATTTAGTGTTTCCAATTCACCTGGGGCCTCATGTATAAAACTTTATGTAGATTTCTTCCTAAATGTGTGCGTACCCACGAAAGCTAGATTTTGCGTACGTACAAAATTTTTCAGATTTATAAAGCCATGCGTATGCCAGAACCTGGGAAAAATTCCCTTTGTAATACCCAGTCAGCGGAAGATTGTGCGTACATGAACCTCCACCCCGTCTCCTCCCCGAAATAGCCATATATGGATGGAGATATCATTATTATCATTAATATAATTATTATAAAAGTATTCTCTCAGAACATGAGTTTTTCTATTTAGAACACAATTAAAGTGGAATTGTCATGCGCCAAGCAATCCTCGCTGTGATTAAAACATTAAATCGCATACCACAGGAAAATTGTTCGAAAGCAGCACATCCACTGAAAATATTTCTGTTTAAATTCATATAAAAATGTTGCAATTTCTGGATAATAATTTCATGAAATTTCAGTGCTTAACTTCATTATTGAGAGTCATATTTAATCAAAATGGGTGTGTCAAATGTAAAACAGACTTTAAAATCATTCTGTTTGCTTCATTATTTCGCTCACTCCAGTAAAAGAGTGTGTACGCATGGTCTAGTGTCCGTACAAAACTGTTAAATAAAAATAAATACATTTTACTGCAGTTTATAAGTTCTTATACAGGCCCACGGATTAGAAATGTTCAAACTAATGGCATTTTAGCCCAGATATGTTTTTATTCAGTTTTAACCTGATTGTCAATAAAAGCTGAGACAGAGACATCAATAATATCTGATATATTAACATTTTATTGAATGTGAGGAACAGGTTCATTATGACTCTTTAAGCGAACAGACCTCCACCGATAAGACTGAGCAGACTTTGTTTTAAATACTACTAACAACAGTTATGTGATGTCAAATTACATCTTAACATGTTTTTTTTGTTTATGATACTTTTTTTTTTTTTTTCTTAGAATAAATGTTTTTGTTTAGACAAAATAATAATAATAACCTTCTCTATGTCTTCTGTCATCTGATTGATATTATACCTTTTTAATAACAAATAAAAGGGCTTTATACATTTACTGGACTGAAGAGACTTTAGCTGTTTATCCAAACATAATTGTTTGTTTTTTTTCATTTCTCAGTAATCATTGTATTGTATTGTATTGCATTACATGTTTTGAAACTAAAGAGCTGTAATATAAACTATTACATCTCATCATACTAAGACATTGGGAGACAGAGTGACAACTGATATTTATATAATTTTATGTAAGTTTCTGTTATACTGTTATAAAGATCTCATTGATTTACATTATACATCAGAATTTTGTCCATATAAATATCAGCACTGCACCAAATTGCATATTTTTGCTCCGTTTAGGCCTTGGAATAAAACTATAATTTCATATTTATAACATTTTCTTTTAGCATTTAACAGTTTCTTAATTTTGTATAAATGCTTTCACTTAGTGCAAAATGTGTGTAATGTCTAATGAGAGTTGTGTGCTCGTTGTACTGAGTATTTGATACAATATGACTGCAAATGTAAATGATCAAGAGAAAATAGAAAACATTACATTGTGAGCACATATTATGAATTAAGAGTTTTAGAAATTAAACGTGTCACTATGAAACAACATCTTGACATTACATTCTCAAAGACAAATGAGGGTTTCTACTGTAAAACAGAGAGAGAGCAGTTGCTACAGTGCTGGATTGTGCAGAGGAAAAACAATGTTCAAAGTGAGATGTTGAAGAAAAAAAGTAGTAAATAGAGTGTTTTGCAACTAGGGCTGTCATCGTTAACGCATGCGATTAATTTTACAATCCTTAACGTGTTAAAATAATTTAACGCAATTAACGCAAAATTACTGAAGCACCATTTCTATTCTAACCCTTTAACCCAATTTTGCAGCTCTGCTTGCGATCAGATCATTTTAAGCTGCTAAACTCCGGGAAAGTTTTCAGTCCAATGATCCAGTAAGCGAATGCATTCAAACAATCCGCTAATACAAAACAGCGCTAATATAAAGGAAACCAGGCTGATTACATCAGAGATTGCAGAGAGAACAGAGTCTCGTGCGTTTTCAGTGAATTATTCATTCCGGTGTGTTTGGCTTTAAAACACGAGCTCTGTCATATTCTGTGATTGTCTCTGAAGAGCGCGAGC